CTCTGGATAATTATTTGTTACATCTAGCTTGGTTCCTACATTTTGTTAGGTCTCCACGTTGGCTCATGAATGCTTTTAATATTTATTCTGTATTGATAAAAGTCGGTCTTGCCACTATGAGTACTTCCATCAATTAATATTTTCTTCTACAGCATAGAACTGTCATTTTTGTGTGTGAAAATGGTTATGTTTATTTATTACAATACTGAATCATATATAAATTTTCAATAAAAGCAGAAACTTTCTTACCTTAAACACTGCTGCTACTTCCTTGCAATGAAAACTTGACACTGGTTTCAGAAGTTTGTGTATCCACCAGACTTTTCATGAGGAAGATGTGGTCCTCTTGAATGCAGGGCACGATACTGGGCTGTATTTGGAGTTGAAAAACTTTACACCATCTCAAAAGGGCCCTGCTGACGTCCAAATGTGAATTGAAAAGCAATTAGTTATATTTCCTTAAGCAATGTCAACTATATTATATTTTGTAAAGGGCCATCCTATTAAAATTTTAGGGAAATTTGTGATTCCACAGCACTGAAAAAAATGCTAATGTCTCAATGAGTTTTGCACGTTATTTTCTATTATAATTTTGCACTCTTATGAAGAAGAATTTTGTCTTCTGATAACCGGCAAGTCTGTAGATGCTGAAGAGAATGGAGGAGGGTTTGGGGTGGAGTTGCATAAGTGTGTGCAGGTGTCTGGGTATACGATGAGGGAAAGGGAACTTTGAACAAGTTTTCGGCTATAGAAAAAACCGCGATTTTATGGTAGTTTCCATTGCTCGTCTACAGAGGTGTCCAAAACAAAGAAAGCTAGTTCAACAAGTCTGGAGACAGCAAAGTCCACTATCATTTATACTTAGCCTAAATCGCACATACATATATATACACACAAATATTTACACATACATACACAAGCATAAATGACGTTTGAAAAGTATGCAGCTGCCTTCAAATAACTTGATACGGTACAATTTCTTCATGAGGTTTTTAAGTTACTGAAAAGTTATCGGAACTAAATGAAATCGGGTATTTGCCCTCTTTATTGAGCAGGAGAGCAGAGCTCGCTGCCGCTCTCTAGGGAAAGCTCTCAGAGGCTGCTCTAACCCCAGGGAAGCCGGCGGACAGAAATCGCCAGCCCGAAACCGCCTGACGCCTAAGTGGCCAGCGTCACCCACCCCATTTTACGCTGGATTCGGGAAACCCTTACTCCCGAGGAGCCTCGCAGAGTCGGCTCCCCAAAGCTGCTCCTGGCCTGCTGACCGACAAGCCATCTCTAGAGGATTTGCTGTCCGTCTTGCCCCAGTCCGGAGCCCCGAGGGCTTTCCATTTGGGCTGCGCTGCGGCGCCCGCACGCCCCGCAGCGGCGGCGGAGCGCGGACTCCCGGAACTAGCGGGGTCAGGCCCGCTGCGAGGACGCCGCATCCCGATTTTGTCTCATGGTTCCCAGAGGCTGCCTCCTGAGCGCAGGCGCGAGCCCAGAGTACCGAGAGGTCCGGAACCCGAAAGCCCGCGCTGCGGGAAAAGAAGCTGTGGGCCCGGAGTTGGCCGCGGGGAAGGAGTGTTGGCAGCGGACTAGCTTGGGCACAGCCCTTGGGCCGGTGCAGAACTTCCGCCCCTGGCCAGGATCCTACGGCCCCTCAGCCAAACCCCTCCCTCTGTCCCAAGTGTCCTTCAGAGTCTGGCCTGGCCTCGAGGTCACCTGGATGCTGGATCTGGGTCCCGGGGCCCAACTCCCATGCCCCCTTCCCGGCCCCCGGGCCTCAAGCAGAGTGGACAAGCCCTCCCCCGGCGATGCCTCCTCTTGCCCTCCCCGCGCTGCGGCCGTTGCTGGAACAGTAGCGGCGTCTGGCCCAGAGTCTCCCACCTGGACGTCTGCCTAACGACGGCCGCCTGAATCCTTTACACCGCGCAGAAGAAACTTTCATCTCTCTCTCTTCTCCTCCCTCTCCCCTGTCTTTTTCTACTCTTAATCCCGGGATTTATGGGTTGAGCATTAAGGAAATTCTCCTGCAATTTGGGATTAGATAAATACTCTCATTGGGGGCGGAAGGGTGGGGGGAATAGTGCTACTTGATACCTCCCAACTTCCCCGAGACGGTGGCAGCATCTGGAACTGAGAGCTCCGGACTCCCGAGAGGCTGGCCCTGGGGACCGCCTGAGTACATTCCAGCGCGCACAGCCGCACCACCGCACCGCGCCGGACCTGGACCGGGCGATGCAGCTGCGGGCCAAACAGGGCCGGGAGGAAGCAGGAGTGCGAGTGGTTGAGGAACTACTACAAGGGCACGCACCCTGGCACCAGAGGGCTGGCCCAGGCACAGAGTGCGCAGGCCCCGCTAGGGCAGCGCCTGGCTAGGGAGGCCGACTCTGCAGAAGCGCCCCCACAGCCCGACTCCCGCAAAGTCTCATGCACAAACTAGTGTGCTCCGGCCTGCGCCTTTTTGCCAGAAATGAAGGCGGGGTGTATTTAATTTCTTTCTTTAAACGTCTACACCCGTCTCTGGGGCTCCGAGCCGCGGGCCTCGCTTGCTACTCCCTGCGGGGGCTTGTGCGAGCCTGAGGTGTGTCTCCGCCCGGGTCGGCGCTGCGCGGTGCGCAGTTTCTTTTCCTGTTAAAGCTTTTCCTTTCTGTTTTTCCTTTTCTCTCTTCCAGTTATTGTTTCTCTCTGTCTCTCTCCCTCTCTCTCTGTCTCTCTCTTTCTCCCTTTTGTGAATGGGCCGCAGTGTCTTTGTTCTGGAGAGAAGCGCCCGTGTCGCTGACTTTTGTGAACTAGAGAAGGATCTTGTAAAACCTCCTTTTCTCCTTCAGACTCCCCACCCCACCCTCCTCCTTTACCTCTTTGATTAGATGTTCCCTCATCGTCAAAAAAAAAAAATGTAATTTCGTTGGTCTGGCGGCCACTTTCTTTGAACATTAGCTCGCTTTCAGCTCCAACTTCAATTAGAAGGAGTTGATTTTGAGAGATCAACAAAAGAACCGACCAAAGCCTTATTAAAGGTCCTAAGAAGATCTCCCGGGTCCTTTGACAAGCAGTTAAGGAAACAGTGTGCCCTCCATCATATTCTGTTACCGTATTTTATTCGGACTGCAAAGGAAAGTGTCGCTTGGGGGAGGGGAGCACTTTGATGAGCGGCGGCTGCGGCCCCTTTTCACTCAACGGACTCCCCCTTCTTTCTGCTCCTCCTCCTCGCCCAGAGCCGGGTTGGCTCTCCGGGCCCGACCTCGCAGCCCGGGCTGCGCCGGTGCTCCCCACCGCAATGCGCCTGTCGGCTCCGGGAATCACCCTCACACTTATCCCTGTTCAAACTTTTCACTCTTCCTGTTAGGAGTAGAGGGGAGGGGAGGGGGGATTAAAGAGAGGGGTAGGAATTCCTCGAAAGGGAGTGAAGTCCTGCCTAATAGGAGGAGGTGCCATTTAAAAGAATCGCCGTGCTCAGGGATGCGGCAAAAACTTTTTTTGCACTTTGAAAAGTCCACCCAGGTAGACAGGTTTGCGAAATTTGTTCGGCTGGGAAATGGGTTTCGCCAGTCCTAACAATCCGGGGAAATCACCTTACGGAGGCTCCTGCGGCAAGTGGGCAAGAAACTGAGGGTTGAGGTCTGTGGCCTTGTTTCCCCTCAGACCGTCCCTGTAGAAGGAGACCAGGTAAGAGACAGACACAGTGTGAAAGAGTTTCTCATCAAAATCTTTCCATTCAGAAGTAGTGTGTGTAAGGGGGAGGGAACACTGGGCTCCAGCATTTCAGAAGAAGCATTTAAGATTTGCAAACACTCTCCGTGGGTACTGGGAACCCCAGAAGACGTCGAGGAGCAGGTAAGTGGCGGTGCCTCCCTGCGGTGATGTTCCCGGGCGCGAAGAGTCCTGAGGCGCCGAGGCGGGATCGACGCCCCCGGAGCTGCTCGGCTCGGCCGAGTAGCCTGTGCCAGCACGAGCTGCCGGCGGCGTCAGTCTGCAGGTGGTGGCGCGGTGTTGGAAGAACGCTGGGGCTCGCGGCGCCGGGAGAGGGACCGGGGGCCCGTTCTCCTCCAGCCGGCGGCTCCGGCGTCCTCGCGCCCACAGCCAGGCCTCCGAGCCGGGTGGCCCAGGGGAGAACTAGGGAACCGGTTCTCCAGCGCCTCGCCTCTCTCTCTGCCACTCCCTCCCGGGCGCCAAAAGGCGAGGACGGGGCGGGGACCCCGGGACGGCCTCGGGACCGGCGTCCCCATCCGCGGCCCGGGCTCCGGCGCAGCGCTCGCCTTCCTCACCTCGCTCTGCACCGCGTTTGCCTGGCAAGCCCCAGAGTTAGCGCGCGACCGGGGCGGGGCAGGCGGGCGGGAGGGCGGGGTGCAGGGGGCGGAGGAGGGCGGGGGCGCGCGGAGGTAACCCCCGGCTCGTGCTGCCATTGCCCGGCTCCCTGTCACTCAGCCCGCGCCGGGCCCGGGATTGGCAGCCTAGCTCCGTTACGCACTCACCTCGCGTTCACATACCCGGGGAGGGCAGTAGAAAGGTGATCAATCTTCATCAGGCTACATTTCCAATCACCTAAACAACTCGGCAAGACAAGCCACTCCGACAAGGTAAATCGCTTGATTTATTTAGTTTGCGAAGTTCTTCTGCAGGGCTTCCCCAGGCCCCACCGCCTCCACTTTGTACCTAGAGGGCACCGGCAGCCGCGAGCCGCCTCCCAACTCTGCCCCCTCACCTCCCAACCTCCCCCTTGCGGCCCCTCGGCGCGGTCCTGGGCGAGATTGTGTCCGAGGAACGTGTAGAGCTTTGCAAACAAAGTGTCTGTGCAATAAAGTGAAACCTGGAGGGACACTCACAAAGCCACTGAAAAGAAAGAGAAGGGTAAGAGGGAAGTTGGGGAAAGAAAGAAATCCGAGGGTCCCAGACCAACCGCTCAGCCTGGCGGGTAATCCTGTGCCGCTTGTTTTACAGGTTGGCTGCTCGGCAGGTCTGTGTGAGGGCGCGAGGTAGATGGTGAGCGGCCCCGGCAGCTGAGGGCAGGTAAGGAGAAAGCCGCGGGGCCGCCCGGGACTGGGAGCGTCAGTGGCTCTTGTCTTCCCCTCCTCAAACGGGTCCCCGATTTCCAGGTCCCCGGCAGATAGGCCGGACTAGGGAGAGGCCTGACTCCGCTCTTGGTGCGCGGAGGACCCAAGAGCTCTGCTCCGGCCTCTCTCCCCCTCCCCCGCCTCCTCCGAAGCAATCGTGCTTAAGTGCTAAGTTCGAAGAAAAGTCTTTGAAAACTCGCACTGCAGCCTAAGCAATGTCGCCGAGGGTTGAGTCTCATTCCCCCTTCGCCCAAGAGCTCTGGCTGTTTCCCTTTCGTCTTCTTCCCTGCAAACTCGGTTCCTCCAGCCCAGGCCTGGGGTCCCGGAGAATAGAATCTTGGAGCTTCCTTAGCTACACTTCTCTCCCTGAACTCCGTAGCCCGCTCCCAGGCCTGTTTTTGAGTTCCCGCGAAGGCGGGTGAAGCGACAGGTCCTCTGGGGCCCAGTCCCACTCCTCCAGCGCCACTTCCTGATCCTGAGAACAGCGCCTCAGATTCGGGGCAACTGGGAAAGCAAGGCTTCTCGATCTTCTGGCCCGGGTCAGTGCAAGCTGTGCCGCCGAGGCCTAGTTCTCTAGTTTGGATGGGGTTCTGCGGCCGCGGGTTCAGCCAGTACGATTAGCAGAGCGCGCGGGACCTACCGTACTCAGGCTTCCCAAATCCGCGAGACTTTCTGGGGCTACAGGCCGGTCACCTTTCAGCTCCCACTGGGACCATATTGTCCGCGGCCAGGACCCGGCGGAGAAAAGGACAGACTTGCGCTGGCAAAGAAGGGCCTGCGGCTGTAGAGAGGTCTGTAGAGAGGTGCCTATGATCACAGACCATGTCTTAGAACAGCCACATCCACAGTGGCTCCTTCTGTGCCTCCAGGCCGCCTCTGGGGGAGCTGGGCCAGGAACTGTGGTTGCTGGGATTCCGAGTGACCAATCCTTCAGCGGCTGGGCACAGAGAGGTCACCTGGAGGGGTGGCTGTGGACTTTGGAGCCTGGATCCAGTCGCGGGGACCTTTGAAGGAAAGTACCCTAAGTGGGCAATGCGTCCAGGAGAGGCCCAGGTTCTGCTAGCCCTCTGCAGTGCCCCAGTGGGTTCTCTGAAGTTTCTCCCTCACGTCCGCCTTTTAAAACATTTGAAACAAAACGAAAGAACCTCTCATGCGATGGGCAGCCTGACGCCAGGGAGCCTAGTAAACGTTTGCTTGTGTAGTATGAGGCTGCTTTCCACCAGACCAGAATTTTGCCTAGACGTGAGACCTTGCACACTCCTTGCTTCAGGCTCTGACCTCCCCGGGTTGGCTCTGCTTTTAACCTCTCTCCATTCCTAGCGATGCCCTACGAGTGTCTTTGACCCATTCCAAGCCCAAAAAGAGGCGATGACAACCTTTTCAAAGAAGCTGAGGTCTTTGGGGTAAGGTCTTTGTAGAGCTGAGTTGACCGCCCTGAGCAGTTCAATGGCGTGTGTTCCCTGTCCCCCTCCACCCCATCCTCCCTCCATTCCGTGGGTCCTAACCTCCGAGACCAGGAAGCCGGGATGGCTCTGAATGATCATCTCCGTATGTCTACTCTTTCTGTAGGCCAAGCCCCCAGACGCAATAGAGCTTGAAGGACTGCGCGGTGGGAGCCCCGCACTGCGCCTGGCCCCGGCCCCCTGGATCCTTCGGGACGCCTCCACCCGGCTGTTAGCATGATGTCTTACCTCAAACAACCCCCTTACGGCATGAACGGGCTGGGCCTGGCCGGGCCCGCCATGGACCTTCTGCACCCCTCCGTGGGATATCCGGGTGAGCACCAGTCCTGCCCCAGCCTCGACAAATCTTGGGAACTTCCATCTCCTCGGGTTTGAGCCCAGGAATTGTAGATGAGCAGGCCTCTGGAACAGGTTGCTTAGTGTGCTTGCAGTGCAGAGCACGCTGCGTGAGTCCTGGGCAGGTAAGGTGAGCCAGGGTAGCAGAAACGTGCAACGTGGCCGCTCCCCACCGGCAACCTGCGCCACCGCCAGCACAGGACACATTTGCCCACGGATTAATTTACCACGGGTGGCTTTTATGGGCTGTGTATGAATCTATTCCTTTTTCCCCAACACTGAACGAGAAATCTGGATATTCGCTAGGCCCTGATAGGAAGAGCCGACCCTTATGCAAAGAGATTCATTGAACTGAGGAAGGGGGATTCTCCTTCCCTAATTAAAATGTCCTCTAGACTAGTAGCCTGCACCAACTTTTGAACTGCTGATGTGGAGTGGAGGGCTTGAGCCGAACTCTGGCTTTTCTAGCTCCCACTCTTTAACCCCCATTTATTTCTTCCGAAAGTGTTTTCTATGCATCCTTTCCCCCACCCTCCAGCAAGAGAGTGTATTGTGGAGGATCAGGGAGGTGCAGTGGGGGGTGGTTAAAGAAGGGAGATTGTATATTTTCTCTTCCTTTCTCAACCTTTGAGAGGCAAGGAAGGGGGCAGCCCTGGAGCCTAGGAGACACTAGCTCCCAATCGCACGCATGCTCTTTCTCCCACCTGTGGCCACTCATGCTTGCCTTCCCGGGGGAGTTTCTTCTGCTCCGAGCTTGGCTTTCTTGTGTAAAGGCCTGGCTCAGGGCCTGCCAGTGGCCTGTCTGCGTCCTCTAGAGCGGGTTCGAGTGGCCACCGCTGACCCGAGGTGCCCCCGCGTGTCCCCTCAGCTACCCCGCGGAAGCAGCGGCGGGAGCGCACCACCTTCACGCGCTCGCAGCTGGACGTGCTGGAGGCGCTCTTCGCCAAGACTCGCTACCCTGACATCTTCATGCGCGAGGAGGTGGCGCTCAAGATCAATCTGCCAGAGTCCAGAGTCCAGGTGCGCGCGCCTGGGGCTCAAGAGTCAGGGTAGGGGTTCCGGGGCTTGTCCGAGAGAGCCTCCGGAGGATGGTCTGGAGTGGGGGCGGGCGTACAGACTGGGCAGCTTCTCTCAGACTCCCCCTAGCGCTGGGCGGGGACCTGGAAGAGGGGCAAAGTTAAAGGAACTACCTTAAAGCCCTGTATTCTGGGGCCCTTGGCCCCGAGGCGCTTTAGGTAATGAGAGCCCTTTATAGGATTGTGGGAGGACAAGCGAGGCTCCTGTTAAGTCAAGTCCCCTGAGGGCCTGACACTTGCCCCTGGTTTTTCGGCTGCCCCAGGACTTCGCAGTTTCCTTCCGGGTGCTGAATTCTTCCTCCGCTCGTGCCCTGCATCCCCGGCATTCTGGAAATGGAAGAGTGGAGCGTGGTCTGACCCCAGGGCCCTGCCTGGGCGTGCGCTCCACGGGTGGCGCCAGTTTGATCAGACGTTTTCTTTGCAGGGAGAGGATGCCGAACGCAAAATCCGGCTACTGATTTTGCTGTTTCTATTTTTGCGATGAAGGGGTCCCGAAAATACTGTTGGTATTATAACTCAGAACTCTCCCCAAAGGCCTTTTATCTTGCCTCTTTTCCCCGGAGGCTGGAGGAAAAAAACCAGGAATGCCATGCCATGTATCGGGGCCCTCCAAAAGTGAGAACCTTAAGACTGGATTCCCAGTTAGAAACCAAGAAGCCGAACGAAATTCTGTCTGGGCTTCCTTCCTTAGTCCCCCAGAGTACTGCCTCTGTTCCCACCCAAATTATCACCCTGGCCAGCACTGGGCCTTCAGGGAAGACCGGCTCCGGCCTTAGATTGGTCACTATCCACCCCCCGCGGCCAGCGCTGTGCCTCTCCGCTGTTTCCTGAGATGTGTTCACAGAAGACAGGGCCTCCAAACATACGCGGGGCTGTTGGGAAGCGGCCAAGAGCAGCATTTTAGAGACGGCTGAACTTCTACTGGACAAACGCAACTGTGCAGTCCCAGGGCAGAGTCGCGCTGGGGTGGGGAGGTGCACATCCCGACTTTGCCAGAGGAGGATCTTTGAGCAGAAGGACGGGGGAGGGTGGAGGAGCTGGGGGCGCTGGGGTAGGGTCTGGCGCCGCTGGAGATGGGGAGGGGCGAAGGCCTGTGTAGGAGAGGGATGGAAATCCAGGCCCGGTGGTGGGTCTAGAGGGCGGAAGACGAGCAACTCCCCCTTGTGCCTCTGACACGCTGTCCCCCACCCGGCCCGCTGCAGGTCTGGTTCAAGAACCGCCGTGCCAAGTGCCGCCAGCAGCAGCAGAGCGGGAGCGGCACCAAGAGCCGCCCAGCCAAGAAGAAGCCGTCCCCGGTGCGGGAGAGCTCGGGCTCGGAAAGCAGCGGCCAGTTCACGCCGCCCGCTGTGTCCAGCTCCGCCTCGTCCTCCAGTTCGGCGTCCGGCGCCTCCGCCAACCCGGCGGCTGCGGGCCTGGGAGGGAACTCGGCCGCGGCGGTCCCGTCGTCGCTGAGTACGCCGGCCACCTCGTCCATCTGGAGTCCGGCCTCTATCTCGCCAGGCTCAGCACCCGCGTCGGTATCGGTGCCTGAGCCGCTGGCCGCCCCTAGTAGCGCATCGTGTATGCAGCGCTCGGTAGCCGCGGGCGCTGCGTCAGCGGCAGCCTCGTACCCCATGTCCTACGGCCAGGGCAGCAGCTACGGCCAGGGCTACCCCGCGCCCTCCTCCTCCTACTTCGGCGGCGTGGACTGCAGCTCCTACCTAGCGCCCATGCATTCGCACCATCACCCGCACCAGCTCAGCCCCATGGCACCCTCCTCCATGGCGGGCCACCACCACCACCATCCTCACGCGCACCATCCATTGAGCCAGTCCTCAGGACACCACCATCACCATCACCACCACCACCACCAGGGCTACGGCGGCTCCGGGCTTGCCTTCAACTCTGCCGACTGTTTGGATTACAAGGAGCCTGGTGCCGCCGCAGCTTCCTCCGCTTGGAAACTCAACTTCAATTCGCCCGACTGTCTGGACTATAAGGACCAAGCTTCATGGCGGTTCCAGGTCTTATGAGCCCAGGAGTGGAAGAGGAGAAACGCACTACCTGCGTCCTCCGCAGTCCCGTCCTGCTGCTGCACCACCCGCCTTTGCCTCGGCTTCTCCAGACTTGAATTCTCATGCCCCCAAAAGATGCCCTTTGCCTGCACTGCCACCCTCATCTTCGTGCCATTTGCTTGGGAGATGTGCACACCCGCCCACCCCTTGGATGAGGGGGATCGGTGCTTTGGCTTGGCGCACAAGTTCGGTAGGCGAGCTGTGTGCTCCCCTCCTCAAGCCCTAACAAACTCCTAAGTCAGCCTCTTCCAGTCTTTCTGGACAGTTATACACTTGGAGTCTTCGGAGGCTTTTCGCTCTGACTTGTTGTTTGGGCACTACACTTTTATTTATTCTTTCTGGAGACTGGAGTCACTAACTGGCATGTGTCTGCCCATTGGCGTGCACCACACTCTACTCCAAATCAAAATAGCCACTAAGTATTTCTCGCGTGCACATTGCTGCCCCTTCAGCTGCCCTTGGCCCAGATCCCCGCCTGCAGGCCAGAGCTTCCCGGCGTTCCCTCCTCCCGAGCCGGACGAGCTGGGGCAATGCCCCAGGGAGCAGAGCGCCCCTACGCTCTCGCGCACAGCCCCGCCCTGCGTAGAACTGGCTCTAGCTTCCGCCTCGGCGGCGGGAATGTTGTACATAGCCAGGCCCGTTCCAGGGACCACTTAAACTTTTAAGTTGCTGTTGGTTGAACTGAGCATATGTCATCTTAGAGCCCAGGAAATAGAACTTTAAGATACATACAGCATATATATATACATATATATACGTACACACAAACACACACACAAACATACATATATATATAAAACAAAAGCAAAAAATATTTTCCCTCAGTCCCCCTTTCTCGCTTTCTCCATCGATGGCGCTTTTACTTTTTCTGTTGTTGCAAAGCCTACCCTCTCACACCTTCTCTCTCTTGTGTATTTATTAAAGAGGACCTTTTGATTACTGGAAGCTGGGCTCGGAGGAGTGGGAGGGCCCGCGAGTGTGCAGGAAACAACCAGGTTAGGGTACAGGGGAGGGGCTAGGCTAGGCGGGGGCGCAGGACTGAGCCCTTCACCAGGTCTAAGCACAGGGTTGCCGTTCAGGTTTAGAGACCAAAAACAAACAAACAAAAAAAAAACGTCATTATGGAAAAACAAACGGACAAACCCAGGCCCTAAACCCTGGTTACAAATCTTCTGTCGGTTTCTCTCGCTTTAAACAATCCCGTTTTGTCTAGTGAGTTTTTAGTGCACCTTCATTCTCCGAAATCTGCGGAAAGCCCTCGCCTGTGTATCAATTTTGGCTTTGGCCGTTTTGTCCAGTAGGTGGGAAAGTAATTTGTAAATTTGCTTTGTCCGATGTGAAGATCACAAATTACTTGTTGAAATGTAAGGCAGTTCCCTTCCTCCCCCTTTATCTACATTATTTCCCTAAAATAAATGCAAATTACTGAACGGCTTGTCAGTGTTGCTCTCCTGATTCCAGCCCCAAGTCCTGGTCTCAGGGGACCCAAAAGAGGGAAATTCCCGTGTTAATAACCCGCGTGTTAATGACCTGTGTGAAACTGGAGGTCAAAGGATAGGGCGGGAGGATGCAGCAAAAGGAGTCGTCAGAAACATTCTCTTAGGGAGTGTCCTCCCCTCCTAGTCAGCCCGGCCTCTTCCCCCAGGCGCTTTGACCCCACATCCCCTCTTGCCATCCAGGACAGAGACTGGTGTCAGCACTCAATTCCCAAAGCAATTCCTTTCTCTTCAGAGGCAGGAGCCTGGCACTGATTTCTTCACCCTAATTGCCTGCACTAGAAAGATTAGGGGGAGGGGAAGAGGGTCGGGAGGCGAGAAAGGATGGCTCTGTAATACTCTCAGTGCTGAGCCAAAAAGGAAAAGAAAACAAAACGACAAAAAAACGATCCATGTCTTGAATATTGGCAGCAGACAACCTTCTTTTCCGCGGAACTGGGTGGCTTCATGGTGGCTGGGGGCTCCGAGTCATTCCTTCCACGTACTGAGATGCCCCTCCAAACCTCAGTCCCCCTCCAGAAGTAGCCAAATTATCTTTGTTCGTACTGAGTTTTTTAAAAATACACGCACAAAATCTAGGAAAGTCAACAAGGACGCGTCCCACTTTGGTGGGGGAAGAAGACTCTCGGCTTGCAGTGGGGTCGGGAAGGACGGGACCACCACCCCTGAGGAAGACGGGGATGGGGGGGGGAATGGGGTGCGATGGGGTGGGACGAGCCCCCGGGAAACCCAGAGCTCGAAGTTCAAAGTCCAGACTCTGGTGTGAAACCACCTGGGTGTAAGGCCGAGAAGCTGCTCAACTTGTCCACGAGCGAGAATAAGGAAACAACGAAAAGTTTCCTGTGAAGTGACGAACGCATCCTATTTTTCTTTATTCCGCGTGAAACATGAGAACACACCCTGAGAGGCCGGGTCTGGAGAACGACCTCTCCCCCTAGGGTCCCGCGCTGAGCAAGGTCTTAGGGCTGCCAACCCCGCTTGTAGAGAAGGCTTCCTAGCCGCGTCCTCGCTCCCGACCCGCAGGCCCGGCTCGGGCGCGAGGTGCCTTCCCAGTCCAGCAAGCCCCTCGTCCCCGCCTCCGCCAAGGCCCGCCGGGGGGCGCAGCCGAGGCCTTGCCGAGCCTGGCCCGCAGGCACCGCCCCGGAGGGAGACCCTAGTGTAGGGCCCGGCCGCGCCCGCGCAGCTGCTCTTTGCGCCGAGTCTCCAGTTAAATGCGAGGCAGAGCCGCCCAGCCGGCGTGCGCCGTGGCCCCTCGGGTGCGGGGCGCTCACGTGCTGCAGAGGCTGGGCCGGCGGCGACTGGAGCAGCGTCCTCAGCCCGCCCAGCACGGGCCTGGGCACCCGGGCTGGCGGGCCTCCCGGGCGCTGTCCTCCGCACACACAGCTGGGGCCGCTCCGGGTTACGCAGCAGCTGCCAGGGCCGCTCGAGGCCCAGGTGCTAAGCTGCCCCCACCCGCAGCTCTCCGCGGCGGGTCCTGTGCGACCCAGCGGTCCTCTTGGCTGCTCGGAGGAGTGAAACCAGGAGACCAGGCTTCGCACCTGCTCGCACGTCTGTGTGGCCTCGGGAGCCAGGTACCCAAGCCTCTGGGCCTCAGTTTAGTGGCATTTGTTATTTGGCTACGCTTGGCCTGGGATGTTCCAGAACTTCACACTTGGGTTGAGGCTGCGGGTGCGTAGATAAAAAGCATCCCCGCGGCCCAGCCACTTGGCGGCGTCTAGAAGATTCGGTGCCTGCGTACTTTGCCAGACGGAGGCCGGCGGCCGGGCGCCCCGCGGTCCGGCGGGAGTTGCCGCCCTGGATCGAGGCTTCGAGAGGTGGCACGTGCTTCTCCCAGGGCCTCCCAGCCTGCGCCGAGGCCCCGCGGCGCCAAGTCGAAAGCAGGAGCGGGAGGGCGCGGAGCACCTCGGTCCGCCGGGCGGCGGGAGGTCGGGCGAGCGGGCCGCGGCCGGGCAAGCCGAGCCCTCTCGGGGCCGCCCACCTGTTACATGCCGGTTCTCTGTGAACCGTCCTCAGCTCACCCTTGTCCTGAGGGAGACTTGTTGCGTCTGTGTTTCGGTGTTCCTGACACAACTGAAGCAACTAGATTTGAGGCTACTTAAGGAGATTTAGCGATTTGAGAATATCTAGCAACGTTAAGACCGCAACAGTTTTCTTTTCTTTGAGTGCTCAACGAAATCTTCACGTTTTCTACTCATAACTTGTAATCGCTGCTCATACTCTAAGGGCATACAGTTTACCCTGAAAGGAACATGTGTGAGTGTGAGGAATAAGTCGTATTTGTGATTTTTAAATAATTCTTTGAAAATCTTCAAGTATCTCAAGAGCACTGCATGATTTGCTGAAGCTCAGAAAAGACTCAGTGAAGTAACTTCGTTTGCTGTAGAGCTTTGCAGTATTCTTTCGCAGTACCTACTGAGGGTATATGGGGACAATTTCCCTGAATTGGGAGGTTTTTTTTTTTCCTGAGAAAAAAACTCCTTAAAGCTATAGGGTATTAAAGAGAAACGTGAGAGAAAAACAGGTGAAAAGACACTGAACATGAGCAAATTCATGCCTGTTACATTACAGAGACCAAAATGCTGAGTGGCTTCATTTCTTGTGTCTAAAGAAAATTACTATTTTTTCATGTATTTTGTTGAAAATAGAAATCTCACAGATAAGTCACGAATTTTTAGATTGTGAAAACATGATAAATTTACTCTGGCAGAATTAGTGTTCTTGATGTCATTAAACACTGACAGGCACTAAGGTTTTCCTTAAAGATACAGAAATAGAATGTATATGACACATTAAATTTAGTTAATATATACATTAGTGGTACAGAAAGTTTTTATCACTACTATTCAAGACCCCCCAAAAATCATTTGACTTCTGATGCAGAATTAATTTAGGAACAGCAACAAGATATCTTATAAAGTTATTTAATTGAAAACTGAACAAGTTCTCAACAAGTTTTCTGTATTTTTCATACTTACTCTGCCTTCTCCCATACATCTTGATATGTAAAATTATAATGAAAAAAGCTCACTTAGTTTAATTAAAGAATATTTGTATTCAACAATGCAATAAAGTAAAAATCACCAACCAAAAAATAAATACTAAATAATAATGCACTGTTTATTGAACAAGAAAATATCTTTGTAATCTTCAAGAATGTTTAGTTATGTAGGTGTCAGGAATATACTTTTTTGGAAAAGAGCTTTTTCTTTGTTTTTTGTTTTTGGCTATGTTTTAATAGATGGTTCCTGAAAAAGCAATTATGCCACTTAACCATCCTGTTGATATTTACTGATATCTGAAAAAAGCATTGGTTTTTTTGTGGGAGAGGGGGACATGCCATTTTGACCTAATGATTCTTTAATCATGCTTTAAAAATGAGTTGGATTTTACTTAAAACACACTAGGTACAGTCTTACAAAAGTTTTTAAAAATCAAAAGTATTTCCCTCAAATCCTTCAGTATTTTAGGTGAAATGGCAGTTACATAATGTAGCCAAAGTTGAAACTGCTTTTAAGTATATCCAATTTTTTCTTAGAAAAAAAATAACCAACTTCTATATGGTATGATTACTAACATCCTTTCAATCATAGAATTGTTCATTCATGTTTCTGGGACTATTACTTCAAAGATAAGGATATGCTTAAAATATTTTAGAGTTCTAATCAAATAGGACTAGTCTCAGTTTAATCACGAGGACCCATCAAAATTTAAACACTGAAAATCTATTATGTTTCTAAAAATTGTACCCCTCCTACTCCTTTGGGATAATTTACTTGGTGGTTAATATAATCAAAGACACAAAGTTCCATTCCATTCCAAAGGTCATAAATACTTCATTTTCAAAGGTTAATCTTTACTGAACAGTTTATGAAGACTATTTTAGAAAATTTAAATTTCTTTTAAAATGGATTGTAAAATTTGTATTTAAGGAAACTAAGTCACAATTTTTTTCAAGATTGAAGTGGAGTGTAAATAAATCACAACTATTTTTAACATTTGGGGTAAAATTGATTAAAATGTAGGACTAAATGGTTTTTGACTCAACTTGATGTCTAAAGAGTTTATAAAATATTTTTTCTAGACAAATATTGTTATTTATGTTCAAAGCTGTAAATGTTTGTAAGATATACCATCATCTGGCATAGCTATTTAGATGTAGAAATCATGTTTTCTATTTAAAGTTTAAAATGCTTATTGTGAAATATACATACAAAAGAAAGTATAAAACAGACATACACACTTTATTAAAGAGAAAGGAAAGTATGTGGAGTAACAAGTTCTTAAATACATCAAAAAGTAGATTTGAAATTGGCTACAATACCAGTAGTGTTTACATTTGTTACATAAATTAAGTCTATTTATGTTTTAGGGATTTTGTTAAATCCTTTTAGAGTAGTGACAATATACAGGCATACCTTTTTAAGGCATAAAAACAATTAAGATCAGGATATGGAAGTTCTATAGGCCTTTGAAAATCCACAGTTTCTTCTTTGATGGGAGAATTGTGCTTTATGTCCATTTATACTCTTAATGAAGGAGCACCAGAAGAATCTTCTTGTTCCCCAAAAATGGATGTGTGATCTCATCCAAAGTTTATAGGTTCAACCCTTGATTTCATTACTGGTGACCTTCAAATTCC